TACCAACAAGCCAGGAGCTCCTCCGGTGAACGGTTCACCGATAAGGTTATTCCCTAGAGACGGGGCTCGATTGAAAAGCAAAGATTGGGATTTTTGTCGTAATTTTCCGAAAACGACGTAATAACCGAAAAATCCAATCGGCGAGAACGAAATATTTCGGCTTTCGAGGGAGAGACACGATTCCCAGCATCCCTTTCCCTCCGAGCTCGTGAACGGAGATCGTTCCAGGAGAAGCTTGAACCCGAACGCTCAGTGATCTGCCGGAAGAATAGCGGAGGCGATTCCCGCGGACAGGAACTTATGGGACGACGTTCGGGAATAAATGGATTGTGAGGAAGGGCTGGGTGAGGAGACTCGTTGGCTCACGCGGAAGCTTCCTCACTGAAACCACTATGAGGGAAGACCCGCCGGCGAAAGTGAGAGTGTCCCGAGCTGTTCAACAGCAGCGCACGCCAGCGAAGCCTTCGGGTTCAAGCATACCCCGGTGGACCTGCTCGTTGGATGGTGAAAACGACTGAGCTCGTTACGAGCTGCAGGGATTCCTTCATGCGACCAAGTTCGCCGTGCCCGCTACGCTCGCCCAGTCTCTCTTCCGAACACATCGACCGTTATGTGTACCTACAGGAGACCAATGCGAGGACTGGTAGTGCGGTGGCGACAGTAACAGCCGGCAACAGGCGAAAACAGCGGCAACAGTGGCCGCAGAGCACAGCGAGGGAACGGACATGCAAGCTAGCCGGGGCCGAAGAGTGAATGAGCGCGTCGTGTGCGCAAGTAAATCATAGAACAGTGGACAAGGTCAGGCCACTCAGTCGGTGGTTGGCCTCTATTTGAGTGGTGGTGGTGGCGACGCCGCCGCCGCCGCCACTGCGCTTCTGCCCTTGCCGCCCCTGCTTGAACAAGTAGAGAGAAACGTGCAAGTCAGTACGAGCGAAGTAAACACGGAATCTGTTGATGGCGAGGGAATAATCTCCGGCCGGAGCTCACAGATCTCCCGCCGAAATGTGTGCCTAGAACGAGAGGGACTCAGTCGACGACTGACTGAATGCCGTGCCGCCCACCGTGTGAGACGGATGTCGTAACGCCGCGTTCTTTTCAAAGCGGTCATTTCGAGCTGGTCTCCGCCACCGAGTGAGTGCCGCTTCTCACTCGGCGACGGAGAAAACGACGACGAGAACGAAACGTTTTGGCTGACCTCAGCGGGGTCCTGTTAACTCCCGCGCATTCGCCCCTGGATAAGGAAGTGCGCAAGCATGCCGAATCTATTTTTGTTTCGACTCGCGGCTCGTATGATGACATTCAAACTATTTCCATCCGCTTACCTGCTCGTCCGCTGCACTAGCTCCTGGCGGCCAGCCTGCTAGGTCAGGTCAGTCGGCCTGCTTGCCGTCGATGCCCGGCCCTTGTCGTGGACAGCGGCCAGGCGGTCGGTCGCTGGCGAGCCCGCCAGCCGGGCCGGTCAGTTGGTCGGACAAACGAAGCCGAAGGCGAGTCAAGTTGGCCTCAAAAGTCGATTTAGTTCAGGTTCGAGTCGACCCTGTTATGTGGCGATTCGTCTTGCGATCGTTTTCGACTGCCTCGATTCGAGAGAGCTGTGCCGGTCGGAGTCGGGTGCTCGAAAATCGTGCAATTATTTGCACTGAGTTTCGTGCGAGCAATCCATGAATAATTTCTGGGTTCGCTCCCAGTATGAGGCATCGGGAAATCTCATCTCTTTCGAACCATTCTAAAATAGAAAGGGAATCGAAACGGAGGATTCCTTCTCCGGAGGCTGCGAATACTTGGAGAATAAGCTCTCTGGATGCTTGCCATTCAGTTGCCGACAGTACGTGGGGTTTTATGCTCTCGTTCCGGTACGAGATGACTTGCTTGGCGCAACTCCCCCGAGAACAATTGAAGACAGCTCTCGAAGGCGGAATTACTCCGCTACAATCTGAGGCTGATCGAAAGTCCCGCTAGTCAGCCGCTGCCTTCGAGTGAATAGTGACTGTAGAAGAGCAGAGCACTGGAGTTTCTAAAGAGAATAGGAGTATTGCGATTCCGTGGTGGGCTGCTCATATAAGGGAAACGAGCCATGAGCCATTCACGATCGACACCAGTCCGTTTCGGCGCGGGAGCGCTGAACACTCCGATCGCGAGGATGTAATTAGACCAGGGAGCAATTCTACAGCCGTGCGAGGAGCTCCGAGCATCATAATATTCGTTTGTATGATGACGTTCCTCGGATTCGGCTACGGCCCGCCTTTCAGGCGTCTGCTTGAACGAAGTTCGAACAATCTCGAATTGAATGGACGAGAGCATTTTTCTGGAACGGGGAGCAAGCTGTCTCCACATCACCCACAATGTGTAAAGACAAACATCCGCATGTCGGTCGAGGCGTCGGCGGAGCGACGCTGACAGCAGAGTCGCTGACATCAAGGCCGATCGCACGAAGGTATCAGCGAGAAATTGAAAGCTCCAAGCGCGTTGGAGAATAAACGAGTGAGCTGTCATCGGGCCGGCCGGCCGTAGAACAGGAGAATCTCGACGAACACCCTCAGAACGAGCTGTATGTGCAATCGATTCTCCGAGATATGCGGCGAGGATTTGCTTCCGAAAATGTTCCGTTTGGTGTCCGTCCAGACGAAGCCGGATCATCTCGAATCTCCCGGTCCTGTTCTTTTCTGCCTTATCGTCTCTTGTCCCGAGCGGTATTGCTCCAGAAGTTCCTCGTCAACGCGCTCGATTCCGAATTCGATGCCAAGTGTCACGAGTTGAAACTCGTTCCATATCACTCGAGGAGAGACGAGAGAGATTGAAGACTCATAGGAAGGTCGAGATAAGACTCCGAACGTGGACACACGATTCTCGGAGCGCGATCCGTTGAAGTCAACCAATTCGCGAAACCGTGAGAGGCGAACGACGGAGGAAAGGCTATTAGGTACTTCAGTTCAGAATAAATAATTATGCAAAGGTTAAAAGTAGATAGCGGCAATTTGCGCGTGTTCGAAGTTAGCCTCTTCCCCGAGCGGCTCACGAACGGAGGAAACTTCCTCTCTGAAAGTGCTGAGCCGTCCGTCTAGTATTGGGAATACGTAGCGGTAGCTGGTGGTATATCAGGGGGAACAACAACCACTCAAGAGGGTCACTTCTAGAGCGAGCGCTGTCAGCATGATTACCGGGAGATAATTTCCCTCCCGATCCCCATCCTCTCCGCTGATCCCGAAATCCAGAAAATCTGAGCGACAGAGAGATCCTATGGATTTGAGCAAGCTCCCGGCGAGAGATCACTCGCCTCCATCTTGTCCATCCTTCAATCTCCGCCATCGAGAGGGATATCCCTGCCCACCGAACGAAGTCAGTGAATAGCTCGGCTCTCGGAGTGACCTTTGCAGTTCCGCTCCTCACAAGGATGAACGGAGGAGCGAGTCCTAACGAAATGATTGAGCCAATTTCGTTTTTCACCCTCCTCTTCGTTCGATATCATTGCAGTTCGTGCCTGTTTCCGACATCAGCACCCCGCCTGGACGGTGGAGACCCATCATGCTTCGCGATAATCCGAACCGACAGAGAGTTTTCGAGAAACCTGTGCCGTCGAATGACGGACTCGGCCGGATATGAGAGGAATACGAGACTCGATCGAGATGGCCCCAAGGCGAGCCTCAGGGAAATCAAGCGAGGCTACATCGTCGTTCAACATCTGGCTCTTTCCTGTTCCTTGGTCTTCCGCCGCTTCCAGATGTTCTACTGCAGAGGCTGTTATCCGCCGCCACCACGGCCTCTCTTCGCAGCAACCGCTATGAAACTGTTCAATGTGCAGCTGCCAAACTAGCAGCGAGGTGAGGCCGGGAGTTCCCTTTTGGGGATCAGCTCTTCAATGGGACTCCTAGGCTTGCGTGCCCTGTGCCCGGACCCGAGCAGCGTATCGCTTAAAAATTCGCACACAAAAGATGACGTATGTGCAAGCAGCTCTGACTCCCACCCGATACTTTCTGAGCGGTGGGGACATTCATCGTTCCCTTTCCCCGGGAGACCTTCCCATAATTCCACGAGGGAATCTGGCTTTTCCTCTTTGGCTTTCCGACGTGAAAATGTTCAGAATTTTGCTGTAAGAGACGCCGCTGCTGGTTTCCTGTAGTCGAGCTGCTCCATCAACAACGAGAATCAGCATCGGGCATTGTCAGTAAGACTCGTTCACGTAATTTCTTCCCTTCGCGGTCGGAAGATCTATGATTTCCACTGAGGAAAGGCGATGATGAGTTTCTCCCCAACACTCCCTGCTACGAATCCCATTCATTGAATGTCGTCAAGAACACGTCTCCAAATTGATTGATCGATCCCTTGATCGAATAGATGATCGATCGATTCATCCATCGACCGGCCGACGGCGGTCGACCGAAATTCATCCAGTCAGCGGAGGATTGGAATTGCGGGAAACACTAATGAAAAGTAAACACACGGACCGGAAAAACGAGGAAAGGAATACGGGCGATGATTTATGCCGGTGACTTTAATCCCAAGCAGAGAAGACGACACGCGAGAAGAGGCAGAACCGATTTCTGGTGGAGCGGAGAGAAAACCGCGGATCCGTACGATTCTGCGAGATTTCGACAAACTTTTCCGAGAAGACACCGACGGGAAGGATAAATAGGAACTATCGGAAAATATCGGTGACATCATCGGATCGTAACAACGACTACCAAAACTCGTTTCGAGCGGAAGCTATACGAGGGATGCCAGTCGTAAAAGGCGTTCGCTGGACTCACTGATAGCTGAGCGGAAGACCCACCGGTTTCCTAGGAATTCCAGTGCGAAAATGAAAGTTCGCTCTCCCCAAAGTACGGAGTCGCCGGTTGACACTTCCTTCCGTGGGATTCCGTGACCGTTAATAATTACCGTCTCGCATCGCCTGATCTTCTAGTGTCAAAGTCTCTGCCGCGACTAACGCCCTTCCGAACGGCTCCTAGCAGCTAGGTACACTACTTCTGGGAATATTCATGCCGGGGCTTAAGCGGACTTACCTCAGCGAGTTTGTCGAACCTGGCGAAGAGTTCGTTGAGGGTCCGGACGAGATCCGCGGCCGAACAGGTCGATGAGAAGGCCGTGAAGCCGACGATGTCCGCAAAGAGAATGCTGACGTTTTCATGTCTGGACATGTAGATCTTCTTGAAGGGTCCGTCCACGACCGAATCCAGATCCCTCTTGAGTTCACTTGCGACGTGCTTCGGCAACACTGAGAGCAGTAATCTCTCCTGCTCTTTAGATTCCTCTTCCACAACCAGTTTGACCTCGAGCGATTGACGGGTCTCGAGGAACGCCCTCCGTTGAAGTTTTTCAAAGAACATATAACACATCATACCGAGGAGATTGACACAGACGAAAAGCACAAGATTGGCTCCGATCTGGGTGAGGTTGTCCTGCACGGCGTCTTTGCTCGTATCGATGACTAGCGCCACGTGAACAACAGCGGTGATGAACGAACAAAACAACGCCGTATTCAGCCTGAACGGAAACAACACGTACAGTGCGAAACTGTATAACAGGATCCAAGCAACAGCGTCGCTCGCTTGTCGTGGAATCGGAAAGATATAGATGTCACTTACGATGTGGCCCATTTGAACGAAAATAGCTACCATGATCAGAAAGAACAGTAGGCCTTGAGCGAGAATCCGCCGGGTTCCAAGTAACCTGGCGGATATCATGAGAAGGACGCCGACGCAGGTCAGGATGACGATAGGAGGGATCGCAGCATATTTTCCTTTCAACAAACAGATCAAGTACACGCCGGCTATGGCGACGTTGACCGCCGACGCGGTGGGAAACCACGTTCGAAAATCGAGGCATTTCTCGTCTTTGTAATAATCGAGATATTGCTTCTCTACGTCGGCGTCCGCGAACGCGAACCGCAGGAAACGCGGCAGATATCGTTGCAGTCCCGAATCGTCGATGTCCAGACGGAGTTCTGCATCGCCCAACTGCTCTGTTCTCGGTCCTTGCCCGTTGTTCTTCTGCACGAGAAGCGTCTCCTTGGCGGAATGCTCGTCGTGCTCTCGACTGTTGGCTTCCATTCGTTTCTTTTCTATCTGTCTCTCTACACGTCCAAGATATCCAGATCGTTCCGTCAGAAAGAAACGTTTCTGTTGTTGATGATGATGACGATGATTTCGCAGCTTTCACAGCAAAAGCTGCGAAATCAGGAATTCCACGTCGTGGGATAGTCGCGCTCGATCTCTTCCTGTCGATCCGCCTCCTCCTGTCCGGGTTTGTTGTGGTGTCAGCAGTTGCAGGTGATCGGTGCTACTGATGCGGTTCTGTGTGCCACTGTCGCCGCCGTCGCCGCTGCTGCTGCTGGCCGTGATAATCAGACAATCAACGGATAGCGTGGAAACGTGTGCTAGGTATCAACCGAGGTCGATAAGTGTATCATCGATGCCACACTGGGAGCTGTTCCGATGACTTCGTATTGCAGCTCGTGTTTTTTTGCTTGCTTGCTCGTTTGTTCGTCCCTTCGCTTGCTTTTTTGCCTGACTGCTCCCGAGGAATATTTCCTCTTCTCCTCCACGACTGGAATGATCGAATATATGCAATTTGTGGTGCGTGCAGTCGAAGCTGTCAGACGGCGGGCTGATCCGAGGCTGCCCCCGCCTATCACGATGACGACAACAACAATAACACCGAAGACAACAACGACGACGATGATGATGATGATGACGACGGGGACGTCTCGATGATGCTATAGTTCTTGCAGATGCTGAATTTGTTGCTAACGAATTCCATATTGGCTCTCGCTTTGTTGTTGTCACTGCTAGCGCCGATGGAAGTGCCGATGCACAGAATTTCCATTAGTGACGAAAGGCCGACACGTCCACGACTGACTTCTGCACCGCGCGAAGCAAAAGCGGCCTATTCGAAAGTCGTGGAATGCCCCGATTTCCTCCGTGGAGCGTGCTCTTGTCACCTGCTCCGCTCTCCTCAAGTTCCCGCCACCTTTTCGGCGAGTCTTTCCAGCGTTCGGTCGACTGCCTCCTAGGCTCCGCTAGTCCTTGATTGACTCGTCCGCGGGAGTTTCTTGAGATAGAGAGACGGTGTAGCAGCTCGGAAATCGCGGCAGTGAGAACTACACGTGAACAAGTTGTCCGTTGAAGTACATCATATAGCCTGAATGAGAGGAACTGGGGCGACGACGACAGAAACTGCAAAGGCCAAACACGATCACCACTGCGGCAGCTCGACGACGAAATTATGTTGGCGACGACGACGACGACAAGCTCGACGATTCACTTCACTTGCAAATTGAGAACAACCTATCCACGGACGCACTGACCTTAGAGGCTTCCTCGTGGAAACATAGATGATTCGCGCACATAGCGATGGTTCGCGCGGCACTATAGACCTCCCGAACCCGAATTCGTTCGAAAGCTAGCCCACAAAGTCATCGCAGTACTTGTTCGAGGACACTGAAGTATCGAGCGAAGACCGTACCGAAGACCGTTCCGAGACCTGACTGCTGCTGCTGCTTCTTCTTCTGCCACAGCCCGCAGCAGAGCAGGAACGTACCAGTGGCAGCAGCAATGTCAAACACAACAAGGCGATGCCCACCGTCCGTTCAATTCGGGTATTCGATCTGCTCCACAGCTATCAGAGCGGGTTTCCAAGCGGAGCCTGGAACCGCGGCTCGATGTTTGGCGACTTCAATTCACCAGGCAGACGTTGGACTACCACGACGGCGGGGCTAGACATCGCCATTGCCCTGAATGAGCGAACGGGCCAACGAGTGGTGGGAAGGGAAGCCTTGAAACGGCAAGGGACTTTGTTGTGAGCGCGCGAGAGCCTGCGGCGAGAGGGCGGCTTACCAAACTACTCCCTCACTCATCGGATGGATAGCTAGCTGGCTAGCTAGCTAGCTAGCTGTCGTGCCACCCCTCAAGCGAGCTACTTCAGTTAGCTAGCGCATCAAGTCGGCCATCGTCGGGCGAGCGCGCGAACTCTCAGCTCCGAGCAATGTAGCTCGGACTGGCATATTGGAAAATTCATCGATTACACGATCGGACCACTCGAATAAGTGAACACCTCACCGGTGATTCAAACGGGGAAATTTTTATCACGAAGCCGGTCGGCCCGACGACGAGATCGCATGGAAGATTTCGTTCAGACTTCCGACTAAATTCCAAAGATCAGACCTCACGCACGTCGGGTGAGATTCCAAATTTCGCTCGACAGCCGCTTCGTGCGAGAACACCATTGCCCTGCTGGACATTTGGTATTCTCGAGGATAGCCGCATTTGGGTCGAGAGCTCGCAAATCAATACTATCCCTTTCAAGCGAAGGGATGAGCAAGATCCTCGTATAGAATCGTTCCCGGTGTCGAAATGGCGACACCACGTCTATCAATCTTAATGAGCGCGGCTGCGCGACGTACCGAACCTTACGATGACAGCTTCGATCTGAAGAGGAGATCTCTGATTCGCTCGAGTGCTTACTTAGATGAATAACGGGGGAAAGTCTCGTCGGATCAGCATTCCCAGGGTATGAGCATCCCCGTGCTTCAGCGACCAGGGAAATCTCTGGATATCCCTATGCGAAGAGTCTGAATTACGGTATCGAGCGATCTCCCGAGCCTACTTAGTGTTCAGTAGCGTGTACTTTATGTCGTCCCGAGCCAACGTAAAATGCACGGAGGGACCGCACTCGGGAGGAGCACAGAGGAAGGGCCTACGTGGAAGAATTCTGATTCTTCCAATGAATCTTCGCTGCTGCCTCCGTACGTAATATGTACGCGTAATCCGCGTCGATCTCGGAGATACGCCGAAATCCCACGAGATCGGGTACTTTATGTGAACGTTGAACAGGCGATCAGAGAAGGAAGTTGCAATCTGCATCGCCGGACAGTATCTTCCCTCCTCCGAGAACATCCTTGTGGTCTCTCACGCATCGGCCTTCGCCCCACGCAGATCTTCACCTTCATTCGCTCATTAGGTATATCGATCGTAAATTAGAAATGTTCTAAGAAGACTCAGAAATTAATTTCACGAAGTCCCGCCCTCATTGGAAAATGCATGTCGTGCTCTCATTGGAAAATGCATGTCGTGCTCTAGGCACGTATGATTCCGGGAACGGAAGCAGGGAAATTTCAAATCTCAGTCACTGACAGCCTAATGCTGAGAACACGAGCTTCGTGGTGGGAAAAATATGCGCCATATGGACTACGCGCGAGCAGCCAACTGCTCTGTAAAAATGACAGTTCCAGATGTGCTCAGCTCCAGACACAGTGGCACACATACGACGCGCTCTCGCAGTCGGCGCACTCACATCTAACTACGATGATTAGTCAGCTGGCGCTTAATGTGTGAGACAGGCCGAACGGATATTTAGTAGGTACTTCCCGATCGCTCCAGATTTAGGAAAACAAGTCTCTCCGAATGCCGGGCCGGCGATAGCGAACTCGAGCATTTAGCTGAAGTGTCACACCGAAATGAGCCGGCGGCGAAGCGACGACCTCTGAGCGATCGAGTGGTCACACCTGTGGGAGGATCTCGGGTCCTTCTCTCTTGGGCGCCGGCGGGCGAATCTCCGGACCGATAATGACTCCGAAGCGTTCGGCTAAATACCCCGACGAAAATTGTAGGCAATTCTAGAGACTTGAATGAGCGAACCCATCGAGCTGATGCGTGCCTGAGTTGCCTACTCTGAACTTCGTGCGTCAGCCTCCGGGCTCCCATTCTAATTTCGAGCGAAACTGGCATCGGCTCGTGAATGCGCTATCGTTCGCCCACGAGTTGGTAGATCAGAAATACCAAAGGTTCGAGAGACGGCAACACAGGGACACGAAGAAGACGGTGCCGGGTATCCGGGAAGAATCCTCGACATCTGATGCATTCTCGGAATCTGATCCTCGTTCAATGCTTACAAAATTCAGGATGTAGTTCGGCAGTTCCCTGCAGAGTCCTTGGCTCCGACGGCGGCGCGCGGTCCGTCCGGAAGACGCCGGCCGTAAGACTCAATTTAGCGAAAGCAGAACAAATTGGAATTGATGGCACCTCGAGAATTCATTTCCCATTTTTCCGTCATCGAAAACTCGCTGAGAAAGCCGCCTTCAGTTCGTGGAATCAATCTGACAACACGAGGCTTGTTTCCCGCCGCCGAATAGCTCCGGAGCATCGAGCGAAGAATGAGAAGCGACCCTGCCGAAACCTGGCGTACAACATACGACGGTGGAGTTTTTCATCCCAGACGTACGATATCCGGAACTCGTGGTGATTCGGATACGTACACGTATGCTCGCAGGTGTTGAAGCCGGACCAGTGATGAACTGCGGTCATTCTAAGGTACATGTGTCCAGGTTTTCATACGACACGAGATCGATGAGCGCGGTATTGGGCTCATTCTTAGCCAAGATAGTCAATACGACTCTGAAGAACATGCTCGCGCTCCTGTACGTCTTGGAAGCGCCACAGCGCTGCCCACAGTATTCCCACCGCTGGAATTCTCGTCGGCATCGCTAGATTCCGCCAGCAGCGACTCCCGGCTACCAGCAGATAGTTGGAGACAAGCCGATTTCTGAGGAAGAAGACGAAAGCTTCGCAGTGAGGGGCGCTTTCTCGCCGATAACCGAGGTCTCCATTTTTTCGGCATGTTTTCAATGATTTCTTCTTCACGAATCGGGATTCCATTCATTGTCCCCAAGCGTTAATCTCCCCAGCGTCCTCCAGATTTTTCCATTGGAGTGACTCTGACGGATTCGACCGTATATGTGGAACTCTGAAGGATCGGTCAGGGAACGCTTGCGGTATTCTTTGGGACGCGACGGGAGCGAAGCAGGTAAACCCATCTGCGCCAGTAGGAGCCGTAGGCGCCGCTACGATGTCGTCGGCAGCTCCGAAGAATTCCCCTCCCGGGACACGAAGGATCATGAAAGTAATGGTACGAACGGGAGTCACCTACGAGTCTCATACCCTACTTTGCGTTCTAATCTACCTGCACAGTTATTGCTCAGACAAGGGCAGCGTACTCCAGTCGTTTCGCCTCATGGCCGAATCTGCATCTAGGAACGCGTATTTCATAAGTATATACATATATGATCTCGTCCTGGAGCTTAATGTTCTTGCCCGCTGCCCTGCTCCAAGCATTGTCGACAGGATCGTTCCTCGGATACACTCGGTGCCGTTACGATATCAAGCAACGTCCGTCGATGCTCGTAGGACTGCTCACAATTTCTCGATAACGAAAATGAGGCTCGTGGGGTCCCCGTTTGAGAATCTCCGTGATTCGTTAGGAGCGACATAAGACAAAAACCGACCAATATACTCGCTCGCCTACAACGAGTTTTTCCTCGTTGCCAGATCCGGACTCTCCGTAGATCTGCGCAGAGAAACATTCGAATACACGAAGATCTTTGTTTTCCATCCGGACGAGGCGACCGACGCGACGCTCTTTTATTTGATGCATCGGAAGACGTGACTCCACGAGCCGTCATTCTGACATGTGCTGACCCCTCTGTTGATCGAATAAACTATGGGACTTTCGCTCTCAACCAGTTTGAATCCCGGCTGACAGATCACAGTCGCCTCATCTCCGGCCCATGCATTCCTCGAGCCATCGGATCCAGGCTGCTTTGTGTGCACGACGACGTTCCCGTTGTAAGGAGCTCCCATCTGTTCGTCAAACGAAACGTCTCAATCTCCGGAGCCATACGACTACCGAGCGAATACACAGATATATGATAATACGCCTGCGACAGTTTGATCTCTGGCCCTCGGAGAGAGTCACTGAGCACGATCGGAGAACTCCTACGTGGGAGAGACTCACTTAGCTCCGAAAGGTTCCACGTACCTTGGGACAAGCCGTCAGTCGAACGCATTTGGGCTCGCGGAAATCTTCGAGCTTCGCGCCCTCGCTGCAGTCGACCTCAGAGCTCCCTACGAGCTTCGTGCCTACCTCGTCGCAAGCGAATCTGGAAACACAGTTTTTATGATAGCCAGTACTTCTCTCTTTTGTCGCTGGCGCAATAAGAGCGTGGCTATAACTACACGGAGCCAATCGCCGAGCTCTTCGTTCAACTAAAGCCCCGGCCGAGCTCGCAAAACCGACGAAGGACGGATCGACAAAGACGGGACCAGGGCGCCACCGAGTCCCGAATATACCGAGTGATAGGCCTTCAACGGGCAGACCCCCAGTCAGTCAGTTGCTTGCACGGGAAGATCAGACAATGAAATCAAGAGCGGCAACAATCTCATGGAGCAGCTCATCGAAATATCCGGACAACGACGCCGGCCACGAAGACCAGCCTGCGCGAGGTCCTCATGGACAAACCCCGCATGCACGATCGAGCCCGAGCGGCACCTCAGGGACCTCGCATGGCGGGCGATCTCATGTTTCGCCAACTCGTCGAAAGCGGGGCGATCGGGCCGAGATTGATGCGAAAGAAAAAATACAGCTCTTCACTCACCTGTAGATCTGGCCGTTGGTCGTTACTCTTACGCGGGACGGTACCGAGGGCGGACAATAGGGTTTCTTGGGTTTCGCGCACGACCCCAGAATGGGCTCCCAAATTCCTTTCTCGTTGCACGTTGATCTCGCCTGTCCTGTGAGGACGTGAGATGGATCGACGCATTGGATTGTTACGTTCGTGCCTGAGAATCGATTTCAAGCTCTGGACTAATTTCGAACGGGAATCGAAATCGATAATCCCGCGACCAATGCATAGGGCTCTTTAGCCTCGGAATCGGACTCGAATCGTTCAGCTCACCGAAAAGTGTTGAGTTGTAGGGCTCGTAAGTTAGCAGGGAATTCTCCTCGTCGATCGGTGGACAGTTAACGAGTTTACAGGTAGGCGCCGGCGCTGACCATCGACCCGAGTCTAGACAAACACGCACCCTGCTCCCAACCAATACGTGTCCGTGATTACAGGAGTAATCTATCGAGCTCCCGTATCTGCAAAAACGCCCACAAATTACAATAACGGTCCAGGGATCCCGCGATCACCTCGTCTGAGGCAATGCCGACGTTGTGGAGAAGGGGAAATCCCCCATGAATTTTCAATAGCGGGAAACGGTCCAGCCATGATCAGCGCGGTCCGGCCCTCATTCAACCGCTGGCCATCTGGCTCGTCCTCAATGCCTCCGGGTGTTTCTCAGTCGGTCAGGAGGAATGATTGAAAATTCGAGTCAGTCAATCGGCTGGCTCCTTTCAGATGTGTTTTCCTACTTGTAGTCCTTGAAAGACGCAGTGGCCGCCGAGCTGGAGTCTTCGGGTTGTTCACAAGTAATTTCAACGCAGGACGATGTTCCTGTCCAGGACGCGTTGTTCTGACAGAGCCAAGACGAGTCACCTTGCAGTGCGTATCCCGAACGACAGGTGACTTCGACGCGGTCCCCGATGGCTCCTCTAGTTGGGCTGAAGATTCCATTCTCCAAACTCAGTCCTCCCTCGCTCTCATGAGTACATCGTTGCGGTTGGCATTCGGGAACCTCGTCGGACCTACGCGTATTATATAGCAGTCAATGCGTGCTCGGCAAGATTTATCGCTTTCGGAGTTCTCTCCGCTAGTTTCTGACTCCCGCGCGAGGCTTCGAAGCAGATGCGCGCTTTTCCATTACAGGACGGATATACGCAGCGTACGTGTCGACGACGACGTTAGGCGAGTTAGAATCTCGATTCCATCGTTTATCGGTCGAGGAATAATCGAGAACTCACGCAGCGCAGAATTGACTTTCTATCCAGCAGCCGAACGGGGGAAATAGAAAATCGAACTCACCAGACACCGTCGGCACAGCGGAGCTTGCTACTGCCAACCAGCTGATAGCCTCGGTCACAGCTGAAGTTGGCCTTCGTCTCGAGAAGTGCCATGAATCCGTTGAAGGGAGCGGCAAGCTCGGGACACGAACGCTTTCGTTCGCAAACGGCGCTCAAATGTTCTGCGCCCACAGACCACGTACCTATCTCGAGACATTGGCTTCCCTCGGCAAAGTCGTCATTGAGGGAAAAGCCCGAATGGCAGCTGAATTGCACGCTCGCTCCCACACCCCGTTGCGAGTAGTGAGCCCGGCCGTTTGGCGGATGTCTCGGATGGGGACAGTTCACTGGACGACATCCGAATTCCGGAAACTGCTCCCTTAGGCGTTTCCAGCTGCCCGTCGAGTCGCATACAAACGAGACCGACGGAGTCGTATTCCGGAAGCCGGGCTGACAGTTCAGTTCGGCTATCGAGTTGTAGGTTGTAGAGGCGTTGAATAAGGTTATCGACGCTCCTTCAATCTGAATTCGGCCAGAGAAAAGTAAATGAATTATTTCCAGAGACATGCGGATGGTCGCTTGAATCCACAGAGTCCGGATCCTCATCTGTCAGCGGAGGTCCACCCATTGTACTCACGGCGGGCAGTTGGAAAAAACTGCATTGTACCGGCTGGCACACGTCGATTGTCGGCTCCGACCATTTGCCAGTCTGCAAGCAGATTAAGCGGACGTCGAGAAGCGGCTCGAAGCCTTGCTTGCAGGCGACCTTCACAGTCGATCCTACGTGATGAGTCACGTTGGGCGGAATCTACGACATGGAACATCCCGTGAATTGACGCATGGCAGGGATTCAAGCTCGAGAGGCAGTTATACAAACGACGAGGTCCAACTCGGACGAGCTCGCAGCGGATTTCTCATCGCGGTCGGCTCGTCGAAGATTCGTAGGCGGGTACGTATCGCCCGAGCACTGAACTTCATCAACTCACCGAGCCCGCATTCTCGAAACGCGGAAGTTCTCCGCATTCTATCGGAGAGCAGAACACGTCGGCCGTCCTATCAGCTGGTTGCCACATACCGAGGGGATCGCATTCGAAAGAGATCGCGGAACTCCCTCGAAGCTTGAAACCGAACGGGCAGTGCACGGTTGCCTTCGACGACACCGATACCCAATCTGAATACGTCACCGTCGCCGGTGGTCGGAGTTTCAGCTGGTGACAAACGACGGGATGACAAAAGGGCAACGGAGAGCTCCATCCCGAGGGGTTACACCAACGGCTCGCGAGTCCCTGTTCGAAACCACGAATGACGTAGTGAGCCACGGTTTCGCTGCATGATTCGATACAGAAAGGAGTGAGCGCTCACCTCAATTCGGAAGCCTGGTTGGCAATCGAATTTCTCAACCGTTGTGTTCTGATACGTGTTCCTGGTGAGTCGGAGTTTCCGCTGACTGATTTGTTCCTCTTCAGTGATGCATTGAATGATCGTCGGAGCGGCGCTATCGGCGCCGCTGATACACTCCGCGTAATCGCTGACGTTCAGACGCGTTGTCGGGAGACACAAGGCGCTCGACGGTCCTCTCTGGAGGTGATTCTCGTTGCAACGAAAACTCACAACTTGTCCAACCGCAGCCAAGTCTTGAGGATCGCTGTAGCCCCCCGGTATACGAGCGATGTTACAGTACCGGCCTGACGACATAACTCCGGCGTTAACGAAAGCACGGCAGACGCTCCTATCTATTATTTCTACAATAAAGTCCTCTCGATGGCGCCCATGGGAAGAGCCCTCGATTATTCCCCCTCTCAGGCTCAGCAGAACTCACCGACACAGACGGGTTTCGGCGAAGACCACTCGCTGATTTTGAGGCAAGTAGCTTCTTGTCTGCCGATCCTTTCGAAATTCGGATCACAGTGCCATTGCGTCTTGGCACCGGTGTCTTGACCGTTACTGATGGTGTAGCCGTTTTGAATAGTTTCAGGGAGATTGCACGGCTTGCAGAAATTGCTTTCCTCAATTTTTACGTTGCCTCGTACGCCGTACCTGAAGTCCCCCCACGAAACGATGAGATGTTTCGGAGCGATCGCTTCATGTACGGGCAGAGAACAGTCGGAGAACAGGAGATATATCTCATTGGAGGATAGCCATTTGTTCCACATGTAAACGTTTGTGATGTATCCCGCGTAGGATTCCATCCGAGCGAATCCTGTGCCGGGAAGGTCCTGCTCCTGGCCGAGGATGAGTGTACCGTTGGAAGGAATCGCATGTCCTGAGGAGAGATTTCGGCCCTCTAAGAGAATGCGAGTGTCCGCGAAAACGGCATAATTCCCCGAAACGTTCCAGGCCAGACAAAGATGATGCCATCTGTTGTCGATGATCTTGATGTCGCTGATCACGTGGCGATTGTTGACGTAGAACACGAGCCTGAGCGAGACATAAAACGACGTGAGTCATGACCGACCTGCTGAGAAGCGTTCCGACGTTCATTTGTTTGATCTATGTTAGGTGTCGATGGCGATAAGCAAACTTATGGGTTACACAGGTGCGCTCGGGTAATCAGCTGACTGCAGTCAGTCGCTCAGATATCCGTGCAGTCAGCCAATCCCCGCCACTCAAGCGTTCTAGGCACTTGGCGCATCTAGTTGCCGATGAAAAATTCTGCTCATTGTGAGGGATCGACGCTTTCGAGGACTCCCGATCGAAGCGAAGAATCATTTGCTTCTCTCGACTGCCCTCTTATCTCGACCATAATGCGCCGTGGGCGTCATCTGGAAAGCCAGTGCTCACCCGCTATAGTCTGTGATGGTTATCAGGTTATCCTTATCTCCAGAAGCGTACGAGAAGGGCGTTCCGTAGTTTTCTGTATCGTTCGAGCGGAGCCAAAGGCAGACTGTGAACTCTCGGAGGGCTTCGTTTCCGTGGGGAATGCCGAGGCGGACCGAGTCCGAGGTCGTGTTGCCGATAAAATTGAGAACGAAATCTTCTGCTATTCTCTCCTCACAGAAGTAGCCAGTTGTCCCTGGGAGGCAGTTGCACCTATTCGAAACGCATGAATGAGTTCAAGCCGAATCTGATACTCCCTGCTATTAGCGATAGTACTCTTGGGATCCGCTTCCGTTCAGCTCCCTACCGGAAAAGCACTCTTCACAAGAAGGGGCGGGGTGTCAGAGGCCATTCCCGTGCTGATAACGACAACGAGAAAATTTCGCATGGCTTCCTGGTAATAGAAACACTCCGGGTGAATTTACTCACACGAAGCGCTCCGGCTCGATGTCGACGCACGAGCCTCCGTTGAAGCAGGGGAATATCGAATTGCAGTAGCTCAGCGTGGACGGATACTGACACCGCTTTCCCCAGAAGCCGCTCGGGCATGCACATCTGCCAACAGGTGTACAGTTGCCGCCGTTTCTGCAACCACACGAAGACCTATCGCAGTATTCGCCGGCGAACTCGCTGAGACACTCACAGCGGAAGGAACCAAAAGTGTTGACACAGCGTCCTCCATTGTGACAACGAACGGAAAACCCTTGGCATTCGTCCACATCGACGGCGCAGGTCGGTCCTGCGGGAAACACATCTTATAAGCAATAGAAGAAAATCAACAGAGGCTTCCGAGAATGATTGACAGAAAAATCCACGGAATCTGCGGCGACTGCCTGAAAATTCGGCCGAGACCCATGCACGTATGCACATCCCGTCTCCTCACTCTACCGAATTCTCTCTGCATTGGAGCAGTATCGGAGTATCATCGGCTCACATAACCCCGCGCATCTGGAGCGAGCGAACACGACTCTCTAGCTTGAGTTCAACTGCGGAGCCCCGCATCACGGAGTGGTGTGCACTGAAGGGAGAAGAGTGCTCGAAATGTTCAAACTCATGCATAGGGATCGTCCGCTCTCTGAATCTGACTCTCTAGCCTCCAAGCCTGGTCGAGTGGCCATTCATCGAGAGCATTCTCAAGCCGGTAGAAACACTTCCCGGAAGATGCAGCCATCGACAGCCTGTGCATTGGCGACCGGTCCCCGAACAAGAATTCATTCATTGTGGATATGTGGACATTCTGGGTCCACATATAGTACTGGAGGATTCGCGGCGCGCCGTCGCCAAGAAGCAGCACGTGAGTTCTCCAGAGTAAAATATTGACCGGAGCGTACAGCCTCCATTAGGCGACGGAGAGGATCCGTAACAAGCAGTATCACTCCGATGCTAGGTGGAACGACTGTCTCTTATCCAGGAAAAAATATGACACTCTCGGGGAGGCGTCCACGCATTTCGGCGAGATGTATCAGGATCATTAGGCTCCGCGTTTATTACGGCGAGACACCACCTGTATATGCGGAGCGCGGCGAGCGCCTGAGGAGGAAGTGTACGTACGTGGAACTACTTACCGTCGAAACCTGTGGCACAAATGCATTGGAAAGTGCCGTATAGGTTAATGCAGGTGGCGCCATTCTGGCACGCTCCGTTCAGACATTCGTCTACGTCTTTGTCGCAACGTTCGCCTCGGAGACCTGTTGGGCACAGACAGGTAAAGCCGGACGTTTCGTGCAAAATGCAAGTGGCGTTCGGCCCGCACGGCATTTGGGCACATTGGTCGATGCGTTTCTCGCAAAAACTCCCCGCAAATCCCGGCAGACAAATGCAGGTGAAATGCTTGTTTATGGGCGAACAGCTGGCGCCGTTTTTACACGGCGACGAGAAACAAGCGTTGAATGGCAGGAAGTTCGTCGAGTTTTGAGACACCTCTGCAAAAGACAACGTCTATTCATCTTCAAGCCCATTGAGTCCGGAATTTTTCCCCTTTCTCTCCGCTCCCGTGGCCCGATCAGTCTCTCACGATTCAGATGAGGGCCCTCAAAGCGAGCTCTCCCGATCAATTCATACGCTCTCAATGGAGCCCGATGGGACGAGCGCTTCACGTACCATTTTCCGGAATACAGCCTTTTTGACCCTCGAGAGGTTGATGGTACCCTGGCGGGCACGGTGTGCAGGGTGACACTCCGAACCGGGAAACTGTATTCGGCTCGCATGTATGCTTGCAATCCCGCAGCTGAAACGAACGCCTCTTCAAGGTCGTCATCCCTGCAGGACATTTTTGGCACGAGTTCGATCCATATTCCGGCTGATATTCGCCCTGCAACGAGTTGGCGTATGCGGTAGAGCGTACGCACAGAGGATGTGCGCGGGCTGTCGCCATCCACCTGCTCGATGAGGGAACATGCTTCGAGATGAGTTCCTAGCTTGTTCGTACGGTGCTCATCGATAATAACGCAGGGAAAAGTCAGAAATCGATGAGAGCCATACCACTCTCCGCAATCGAGTCTAGCTAATCAAAACCTAATTTCAACCGAGAACTCGATGTGTAAGGTTCGCATTCCGCATTCAGGAGACCAGGCGCTCCCGTCTAACGCTGTAGGGAACCGGAAGACATGCATCGGCTCGTGTTACGTGATACCATGCATGAGATTCACAGAGACGGGAAGCTACCTCATCTAGAAACCAACCAGGAGGCAAGTCTCGCAGGGTATCACGCCGTTCGTTTTAGAGAACATCCCTGGAACGCATTGAGGCTTGCAGTCGTTTTTACTCTTGGAGCTTTTCTCTGCCGTCGAAGTGTGGTTCGGGCAAATTTCGCAGCTGAGCTGTCCGCCTTTGAATTGATATGTGCCGATCGGACACGGAGTGCACGTCCTCTGGAGAAAGTTGTGGAACATCCCGCCGGGACACTGTACTGGAAATGCATAGAATTTTATTTGCGCCGCGTCCGGAGGCCCGCTCGCTGGCTGTCTCCGGAGCGTCGCGGAACGCATCGTCGGACGGGACTATTGCGGACGACTCGGAATCGGAAGAGGGAGACTTTCCGGGGATGCGGAACGAAACAAAACAAAGCAGAGATCGTTATGCGCTCAACGTAATACTGGCAATTTCGTACCACATGAGCGGTGGTCAACATGAATCCAACCGAGCGGACACAGCGAATGAAAAGAGTGGTTCCTCTGACTGAGGCCGTAGCGAACCGAGGACATCATGTCGTCCATCGAATGAAGGACATCGTCAAGGTCGAGGTCGTCGTCCCTGTCGGGGCCTTCGGGAGCTTCGCGTCGTTTCCGACTGCTGCCGCCTCCGGGAATAACTGTGGAATGGGGAGGGCGGAATTAAGAATGGGTCGATTGTAGGAGTTCGCCCGCAAAGCCGATCCGATGGACTGTCCCATGATAATTGTTCGTTGGCGGGCTGCTGTATGCGCAGGCGAGGCGCCCTTTGGAGCTCGCCGCAATCGAGAGACCATCGCGAGAGGAGCGCGCTAAGATCCACTTGGGGAGTCCCGTCCTCGTCGGTGTTTCCGGAATTATTCCCTCCACGCTCGTGGAACGTTCACTGATGCTCATTTCTGTTCCGAATCCACTCCGAGTCATTGAATTTACATCACGCGAGATCTGAACTCTGGGGAAGAGAAGAGTTTCGCAAGTTGAACTCAAGTGAGCAATACGGACGGATGAGCAGACTCACGGGTCAGTTGAGCGAGCTCGCAGATGACCATGAGGTTCTCCCTCAGACAGCGCGGCTTTTGACGGCATTTCCTGATCTGTCTGACAGTGATATTTTTGCCCAGTCTGAAGGAGAGTTGTTCCATAAGAAATTCATTTGTGCACTCGAGCAATGTATCGGTGTTCGGAGAGGAAGCGGGAGCCTCAGCTGTTCGGGAGAATTTTTCCTGAGTGAAGGAATGATCGAATTTCGAAAGCTCTCAGTAAGTGGTTTTCCAGTCGAACTCACGAGCACAAGTGGGAATACCGTCGAAATCCCAATCGCCATTCGAGCAGCGCAGCTCGTTCTGTTGTCCGGGGAGCAGGAGGAAGCCTTGATTACAACGCACGGCACAGACCGTGGATCTCGCTTCTTCGGTGCAATCCAATGCGCCGTTCGAGATGCTGAACGATGGTTCGCATTGGTTTGCTGATTCGCGAGTAGACGAGCGAGAAAACGAAGCAGACAGTTTGACGGACGGCCAGAAGGATGGAAAAATCATGCTCCAATGAATAGCTCGATCTATGTCGACGAGCCCGTGAATAAAACATTGAGGCGGGACCTACCCTTGACATCGACCTCGAAATGGCAGGTCACGTTGTTGCCCGAGTTGTCAGTTGCAACGTAAGTGACTCTCGTATTTCCGATGGGGAAGTACTGGCCGGGCTTGTGCGAGCTCCAGATAAAGACGTCCTCTTGGGAGTTGTCGGAAAAAAGAGGTTCTTCCCAGTCCACTTGGGCCCCTCGACCGTCAGAGGAGACCGAAACAGCTGGAGAGTCACAACGATCCACCGACGGAGCTTCCTCGTCTAGATAACGCGAGGGAAAACAAAAGAGTGGAGATTATTCTCCGTGGAATATCAGCCACTGCGGACGCTGCATCCTGACTCTTCCCTTCCTGCCTTGATGTTCGACTTGAACTATTTAACGCGTTCACTACATCAGGAATCGAGAATCGACAAAGGAAATCATCAGATCAGACGTCTTTTTCCCTTTCCAGAGATTGAGTCGAAGAAATTCGAACGCGAGACTTGACGCGTCGGCAAGAGGACTGAAGATTCTTGGGAAAGACGACGGATAAACAAGCGAGGGTTGTGACGGGAGGACAATGAATCTTACAGGGAATGGCTACGCTGACGGATTGCATTGCAGCGAGCTTAGCCTCCTGTTCGACTTCGAAAATTAAGAATCAAGCCACTGCCTTCGGGAGCAGCGCCGCGCTGGACGGCGACGCGAGTATGCGCAATTTGTTATGAACATTTCCCTCCCGTCGGGAGCGCGAATACCCATACCGAGAACGGTGACCGAGAAGGTACACGAGTTCTTGTTGCCTTGTGAGTCGGTCGCCGTGTATGTTATGTTTGTTTCGCCAACGAAAAACGGCAGCGGAGGCTCGACGGCTGGTGCGACGGTCAACGTGATTTCGTGGAAGCCGCTGTTGTCCTGAGTTGATGGTAGGCTGAAGTCCACCGTGGCATATGGCTCGCCTTCTTCAGTCGGTACCAAGATATCGTCCGGACATTCGATGCTAGGAGGTTCCGTATCTGCGAGAATACAAATGTTGTTGTGTCCATCGATCATTTCCTGCAGAGGGTTGCTTCCCGAGCGAGCGAACAAACTGTCCCGTTCTGGGCATGCATAGGTCCTACAGCTTGGCTTCGCTTCAGACTAGGGGCTGAGTGTATGGAAAGCAAGATCGAGATTTCGAAACCCCAAGATCCCGAACCCTAAAAACCTCTCGTCTGAATCCCCGGGTCTCAGCTGATCGTCGAGGTGATTGAATTCTAGTCGTGATGGAGGTTTTCCTACGGATGCGGCTCCGCTCCCGAGATTCAGAGATTAGTTATTTTACGTGCCCGTCATGTGACCCGTCATAGTCTGGCTTAATCTCCGAACAGCCGAGCTCCTCCCGGGATTCCCTTGGGGATTTTGGGGATGGGAGGAGGATTACAAGACGCCTACCGATGCAACGGGTCATCGTCTCGCGGTCGCTCCAAACCCCCGGATAAATACATTCCCGCGAAGCTGGTCCAGTGAGTCGATGTCCTTCTTGACATCGATAGCGGCATTGATCCCCGAAGAGAGCTTTGGTTCCGTTGCACGACGGCGGAAATACTCGTCCGTTCTGCGGTGCGACCAATGGAGGACAATAAATTCCTGCGGGAATATTCGAAATCCATGAGAAGCGACGTGAAGTTCATTAACAGCGCGCAGAGGGAACTGTTTCCCGGTAATCGAAGCGGGTTGACGCATTCAGCAGCCTTGAGTTTTAACGGAAAGAACAGGCACAAAACTCGGAGCCGGAACGAGAAGCGTCTAATGAAAATTTCAGATGGATGATGCTAATGGGTCGATAGAGGGAATTGGGATAATTGAGAATAATGCTTCCCGGAGTGAATCCTGTTAGTCGGGGCGACTATTCGGAGAAGCACAGGAAAACCTTTACTTCGGCAAGATGCAGGAAGACCGTCCCAGTGAGCCACGGCAAGGCATTTGCGACGCCTTGATCCGACAAGGAAGAATCCCTCCTTGCAGGTGAACTCGCATTCCGTCTCGAATTGATAAGACTTCGTGGTGCAACGGATTTCGCCGTTCTTCGGAGCACTCAGCTCTTGGCACTTACGTTCTGGAAATTCGAATGAGAATCTTCGAAGAGCTCGGATGAGAGACTGGGAGGAGAACCACAAAATCTGGGAATATTCCGTGGAGAAGGATGGGAGCCTTCTCGATTCAGTTTCAACGAACGGTATTCGCCGAATCAAGAGATTCCTCCTCGTCTAACAAAAGAGTAAGGATCTATGGGAGTTTGGATACAGAAGAAGATTAGAGCCCAGATTCCCGACACGAGAGCCTTCTGCGAATGCTGATTCGCTCAAAAAAACGCGGGCTGGATCTAGATTCGAGATGGACGACCGATCCGAAAAAAATCTGTGGATTGAGGTAAGAATAGTTGAATGGACGATGACTTACTCTGACACTGTGGCAAAGCGCCTTTCCATCGACCGTTCTCCTTGCAAACGAGGATGCTCGACCCTGTTAAATTATAGCCCGTATCGCAGGCAACACCGCAGGCCGCGTTGAATACGCTTTCGCAGTGATCGTTGACCAAGAATCCATTCAGAGGGGCTTCTAACGGCGGGCACCTCACCGCTGCGGAAAGCTATAATCTAATCTTGAAATGCTCTGCAGCAGGGATTTTGCTGTAGAAAAAGAAACATACGCACAGACTCTCTCTCTCTTTCGCTCGCCCGCTACCTCAGAATCTCGCTCCCGCGACAAGCAGCGAGCCTACTACCTCACGAGATAGAACTACCTACTCGGATCTTCACTGGATAGGGATATCGCGGAGCAGAGAATAGGAAGGAGAAAAAGAAGAAAAGGGAGAGCGCTCCATTTTGAAAGAGTGGGAAGAAACGAATATTTCATGAGGCTCGAAAGTTGTTCCCGAAAAGAGCGCCAGCGAGGCCGATCGCAATGTAGCCCCATGCAAATGAAGTGCAAACCATAGAAAAAACTTTCGGATCATTCCGACTCTCTCGAGCCGGACGAGCGGCGGAGCGTTCTCCGGAAAGAAGTTCGTGCCCCCTCCCCCTCCGTCCCCGTCCGCCCGGACGCCGAAGCCGCGAAACGGCGTGCCGGGGTGGGCGGACGAAGTGGGAACGACCGCAATGTTTGAAGAGCAGAAAAATTGAGTATAATCTTGCGTTTCGCGCCCCTTCAGCTCGCTGTTGACGCTGCTGTCGCAAATTTTTCTCCTGAGGAGCGCCCCATTGTTCGAGAGGGGTATAAATCACTTTTACGCATTCACCACCATCCGCACTATAGAAAAGAGTAATGGTCGGTCCCTGGGCAGAGAACACGATCCGAATCAGATCGAAATAGAAAACTCTTACGCATGCAGGTTATGTTGGTTCCAGCGACGACGACAGAAGTGTAGCCTTTCATACAAGAGCATTTCTCCCGCGACCTGCTCGCCGCTGGCGACGTCTGATGCGGCCCTGGACATGGAACGCACTCTTCGATACCCCCGTGCACGAATGCTGCCTGATACGTTCCCCCGGGGCATGCTATCGGAATGATTGAGCGGTGAGTTGCTGTTTCCGTCGCACGAGAACGCAAAGAGGAGGGAACCGAAGCGGCTCGAAAGACCGTGGATTCAGCTAACCATCGTCCGAAAAAACCGAAACCACGCCAAGGACGGTCGTGGAATCCTATCACGAATGCATGGAACGACCGATATCGCATGGTGTGGAATATTGAGGAGTCTTCTAATTTCTGAATTCGAATCACCGCGGGGAGCGCTAGTTAGCGACTTACGTTTGCACTCGCCTCGCAAACCCGATCCGTAATGACCAGGAGGACACAGGCAGTTGAAATATCCAGAGTTTGTTCCGCACGCGCACCGGGCTCCGGGATGACAGCAGAATCGACCCTCGGGGCATAGAGATGCGCATTGTGACATGGGAAGGATTTCGTACTCGCCCACCGAGAGGTCCTCGTGCAGTGCTCTCCGGGCCAGCGCGTCGAATTCCTCGAACGAATTTACAATGAAACAATGCTCGAGGCTCGACGTCGCCATTTCCTGCAAATGCTCGAGTGTCAGCAAGCTGTGTCCGTCTCGGACGCGTTCCGGTCTCTTCCATTTTTCTCCCATATCTTGTTCTCGACGTCAAAAACCTGAAGTTCTTTGATGTTCCCATTTTTTATGCCGAACGTGAAAACAGTGACGCCGTCCGCTTTGAGCCGGCGGGCAATCGGCTTGGGGTCTCCTCCGTTGGAATAGCCATCGGTGACCAAGAACACCACTTGTTGAACTCGCCGTGGGCTGCTTTTGAGGACCTTGTCGGCGACCTTCATCGCCCCCAAAGTGAAGGTCAAACCTCCACTGTAGTTGACTTGGGCCAGCTCGCTCATCAACGAGCACTTATGTCGACTCTGCTGGGGTGCCTTCGTTGAACCCGAAATGAAGTCAATGTGCGTGATGACCTGATGCTGGGAGCTGTACGAAACGAGCGCGACTCGAGTCGAGTTGCTCCGCGAGTGAACGACGCTGAAATCGGCGAGGATCTTCTTGACGAAGCGAAGCTCGGACTGGAAGCTCTCCAGTCCAACCGATAGTGACGCATCGATGAGGAATACGATATCGAGACCGTTTTTCTGCGCTCGCAACGATGTGAGAGAGTCCCGAAGTCGAGTGCTGAGCAGCGATAGTTTCCCCAGGTCAAGGGTGTCGTTCAGAATCGGTAGCGGGTACTCGCTGATGTCGTTGAAGGCCACGCTCGCTTGGAGGATCGTTGTCAGGAATAAGGAATAGCCCGGCCACATGACTGCAACGAGAAAACGGTGAGGCCTTGAGGAGTGTCCTCGCCCGTCACAAGCGTACAGTGCGTCTCGCTTGGAGAGACCATCCGTCCAACGGGAAAATCGTTCCACGTGGAATTTATCCCACCGGTGAGGTACGTTTTCGCCACGAGATCAATACAGATGGTCGTCGGCGATCATATATTCCATCAATATAGGGAGTTCCTAAGGTTCTTGGCAAAGCAAGGATGAAGTGGATCTTCCTTCGGGCTTTGATATGCGCGGTGGTCAGCCGCAGTGAGTCCCTCTTCAATGGGAGGAAGCTCTTCATTCGCCGCATGGGGACACTCAATTGTGAGTTTCCGGGCCGCCTGTGGCCTGTGCTATCTCATCGAGTGCTTAAACGAGGACTCACAGTCTGCTACGACATGAGTGCAGAGCGGGAAAGTTTTGTGCGGCTTCCTATAAGATAAGTGGATTAGGATTATATCGCGATGCCGCAGTGAGGACCCACAGCTCGGTGCTCATTCAGACTAGCGGGGAGCAAGCCCGAGTAATTATCCCCCCTCCCGTAATGGGGGATAGTCCTTGAACATCGACTAGGTATGATATGTGTATTTGCATGGAATGAGCGCGCTCGACTTCTGGAAATTCTTCGAGAGGCCGCCTTCGAATTTTCCTCGTCTACGTCCCTCTCTCCGCGACTCCCGCTCCTTCCTCCTTCACCGCTCTCCTTCCTGAGTAAATCTCATGGCTCGCAAGGGAAGTTCGACTCGTTCCGAGAAACCTTCAGGAATTCCGGCGAACGAATTAATATCCCGACTCCAATGACGGACGCAAGAGGGAAGAAAGAAGAGAACACCGTGGCTGGAAGAGGGAACGCGATGAAGGAATGGAGCTAGGAGCCGGCCCGCAGTTACGATCAGCATTCTTCGTCTGCTCTGCTCCATTGAAGAGCGTCTTTAGCTTGGAGCTCGAATCTCCCAGAAGAGATCCTGACAAGCCAAGCGCAGGCTCTTTTGGATGAGCGGCGCGACTCCAGCTCAGGAGTCTTCCAGGTTTGTTTGATCGCGCCAGAAATTGAGTCAGGTTTTTTCTTTCTGATCGACGAGCCGATTTCTGGCCGTCCTCTGGAGGAATGGAACGGGTTCTGCCGAAGAATGATCAAACTGGATGCGACGGCAAAGCCCCGGAGTCTGGAGCCATCGTTTCCGAATTACTGTGAACGAGTTTCATGCAAAGCCAAATCGAATGTCCCGGAGCTCTTCTTCCCGCCAACTCCCATCAGAGGCTCTTTTGCATGAAAATCGGACTCGTTGTTGGCCGATCATCCCGAGTCGACTCATGCATGGTTCGGAATCACCGAGTTGCTTCATGGGACGCGCGATCGACGGCGCGATATCGCGACTAGTGCCAATCCCTTTTCATTTTACATAGATGAAATTCATACGATCGATGGATCATGACCGAGACCGTCGGTGGAAAAAGGAACGTAGCGCCGCACAATACTCATATCGAGTGCTTCTTCCTTCCAGATATCGGAAGTCAGGACAAAAATGAGCAACAGGAGCGAGACGAGTAAACATGAGAGTGCCGAGAAACGACGAAATTCCCGACGGAAGAGACGCGACCCGATCCGAGTAACCTCCGGTAGTCTCTGCTTGAATTGGTTCCGCTGTATGACGGAACGTCAATATCAGCAGATACGGCGGAATCGGATTCTCTCCGTCGAAGAGGAAAAAATAGGTCTTTTTCCTTTCATGAGGAGCCTGCCGTAGACGACAGCGCTCCGAAGTGGATTTTCCGCTGTCAAGTTCGAAGATTCATCGGACCGCGAATTCGATCCAAGCCTCCTCGCAAGCCACGACAGATTCCTCGCAAGACTTTGATTCCCCTCTTTGCTCCAACTGCTAATCATTCGAAGAGATTACTTTTCATTCGACTAGAGCTCACCGCCGGCCCCCCGACACTAATTCCGACGAGGAAGAGCGCTCGGACGCCACCCGGTGCGGCAGTTCATCGAGGAAAATAACTGAGGTCCCGACTTCGCGAGAGCTCGAGGATGAGGTTGACTTCTCCGGTTGCCCCTCCGGTAATCATGCCCGTCCTCCGAACGGAGTCGAATCCGCAGAGGTCGGAAGAAGTATCATTTTATTCCTCGACCAGGGTGCTCACGCCCGGGTGCCAACCGCAATGCCTCCCATGGATCCCGAATGATGAGGCGTCGAGACCGCGTGTCAATCAAGGAATCGAAAAATGCAAAAGCAGAGACGCAGACCCGAATACAGTCGAGCCCTCGGATGGGAGAATACGCTAGTGAGATACTGATTCCCATCGCCGCTCTCCGTGTCCGCACGCACTCCTGAGTCATCAGAGACTCCAGATGAAAGTTGTCGGCTTGTAAGAGACTCGTTGCGGACCCCGTCTACATGAAATCCCATGTCGAAGGTCTCGCTTCCAAGAAACTGAATGCAGTTTCTCACTTCGGATTGATGTTCCGTGATTTGGCCTCTACGAGACGTCTTAGGACAACCCTAGGATGTTTGGGCGAAACTAAAAATGTCGGCACTTTGTACAATTTTGAAAATTCAAATTTCGTTTGACCGCGCGTAACAATAAGTTGTTACAGGAAGTCAGCTATTAGCTATGAGGAAGTCTTCGAGTTTTCTGGTCCTCCCCGATAATATGTCATGAGCCTTCGCTGGCTGCAATCAGTGAAATCATTTTCTTCTACTCAGTCTTGGAAGAATGCTGTTTGAGACAAATGAGTTTTCATGTTCAGAGGGAGGTATACACACGCAGACACGCGAATCGTGATGTGTGCATGGGACCAATGCAACAGTGTCGAATTGGTGCAACTGTTGGACCATTTTAGGCTTCATTGTCGCGTTTTATAGAGTGGGGGGATCAGAGCGCCCGACGCTAGAATAACGGGATAAGGACCGGTAGTCGAGGGCTCGTTCGAGGCTTTGGGTTGAGCGATGAGTGGTAGTTTCTTCCCCGCGAACTTGTGCGAGTCGGACATGCCCCCGCCCCGGTTGAGGCCGCGCCAGCCTCGCGTCCGCCGCGTGCCGGCATTCGTCCGGCGTGGGTTGCGGGAACTTCGCTTCGAATTCGCCACAGAGAAGACGGGATAAGCCGTCATCATAAAAAATGAGTCTGTTTTTGCCGCTTGCTTGTCGGTTGGCCCGCTTGCTGTCGGAAACCCTCTTCCTCGATGACGCTGACAGCGGTCGTTAGACTTTGAAAAATCTGTTGCTAAGCACCGGGTGTCGTTCGTAGAGAATGGAATTCGTAACACGAACTCTATGCCACCCGCGTCGCCTTGCGTTGAAAAGCCCGTAGATGCGTCACGCGTGTCGAAGCCACGAGAAATCTTCCAGAATAAATAATTCTTTCCCCACGCAATCATTCCAGTTCTGAGAGTTCCGGATCTCGAGCATACCAAGATGTATGTATTAGCTCGAAAATTCCGATCAAAGGGGCACGGCTACAAGGAGCAGGAGCTCTCGAGCAGGCCTGACGAGATTGATCATTAGCCGAGCGTTCGAATTGCGTCAGCCGGCGGACGAAGGTTTCGGTGCAGACTCGTACATCCTCTTTGACTTTGATGTCCCCACGGACGGCGACTATTATTATTATTTATTGTTGTCAGCCTTAATTCATGGAACAACAATGTTCGCGAAATCGAAGAAGTCAGCTCGGAAGTACTGAGCGACGGTAAGGGACAAGAAGAATGACGCTGGGAGAAAACGAAGGCGATGCTGATTTAGCTTCCGAATGAACCTTCCCGACAACGTGGCACCAAACGACATGCCGCGACCGACAGGCGGCCATCCCGCCGGGTAAGTACACCGACAGTCAATCAGGAAGGGAGGGAGGTCAACGCGGGCTATCTGACCGACCGACCGACCGACTGGCTGACTGGACATAGCAACAGCAGACAGCTATCTCGACGATGGACCGAGAGACAAGGGGGAGAAGTAGTCGAGAGCGGGGGAGAGTGGAAGTGGAAAAAAGTGTTTTTGAAACGATCCGGCGAACCTATAGCTTGCTTGTTCGCGTCGCGCCTTCCGTCCGGTCACGCGACTTTCCGGAGCGTCCGAGGCCGAGGTGCCACGGCAAGCTCCGGAGGCTCCGCGTCGCTTTCGGAAAAAGAACATCCATGCCCTGCGATATTTCCTCACGATCTGGACGCGCATCCTCGTGCGTTATATTCGGCTCAGGCTCAGCGCTTTCGTTGCACTTTTCCAACAAGGGTCGAGAGGAGCTCGCTTCCCCTCTCCGAAGGTAAGAAGGCTATTTGGGAGCTCTACATTTTTTTTTGTTTCCTCACTCTGCAAATCCATTTTTCCGCTGAACCCTACTCGGACTTCCACGGAACCCATGGAGAATCGGGGAGCTTTTCGGATCAGAGGAGATGGAGGAGGGATAAGGGAGTAGAGGAAAAGAAGGAACGACGGAGAAAAAATGCGCCGACGCAGAGACGACAAGGGGAACCTTGTGGGGGAAAGAATTCAAGTCTTGAAAAGGAGCGTCGCAGAACTCGGAGAGAGATTCAGACAATCGAAAAGCCGCGCCGCAAAAATTACGTCATGCTAATACGCTGTGTCAGTCGAACAGTCAGTCAAGCGGCTGGTCGACCAGGCTTAGAGTCGGTGTCTAAGCGCGAGGAAGGAAGATCGAAAGTCACGCTGAGCGAGCGAGAGCCGGAGCGACGAGGGAAAGACGATAGCCGCAGCATGCAGGCGGAAGGGAAGAGGAAAATGCGAGAATGAAGAGCACATCGGGGGCTTCGTGTGTGCATTTCCAATTTCAGCTTTTGCGACAGCGAGTCGGTTTGCGACAGCAAATGTGATTAGATCTCCGGTCGGCGAGCGACGGAGAAATGCGGAAACAAATAAGTAACGATCGCGCCCGCTTCCCAAAGTCCTCGCCATCGTTGATTGCGGCTCTTTGTC